ACTCCATTGGAGTGGATGTCCCCTGGTTCTGGTATTGCATGAGGGGGAAAAGAGCTTCCCTCTATCCACTTTATCCATCACCTACATAATTTTATATGTCTCAATCAGGTCCCCCCTCATGCCCCTGTTCCCTAGACTAAAGAGGCCCAAATGCTGTAGCCTTTCCTCATAAGGAAGGTACCCCAGCCCAATCATCATTTTAGTCACTCTCTTCTCCATCTTTTTTTAGTTCCACTATGTCTTTTTTGAGGTGCAGCAACCAGAACTGTATGCAGCACTCCAGGTGCGGCCTTACCAGTGTTGCAGCACACAGTTTACACAACTACAATTCACTAGGCTACCTTTAACAGTGTTTCGCATGTAATACTTTTTATTGTTTTCCACTGAATTTTCGTATTTTGTTTGGTGTGGTTGCTCAGATATGGCACAGGTTTAAAAATATGCTAAAGTAAGGAAGTGGTCACTGTACATTTTATACTGTATAGCTTTTCTGAGTTCTATGTCTGCATCTTATCATCTTGCTATCAAAACTGAATTCCAGAGGCACTATACCAGACCTGGGCAAAGTGCTGCCCGAGGGCCACATGCAGCCTGCAAGCCGCTCCTGTCCGGCCTGCGGACAGTTTTGAAAATCAAAACCATTTATAGCTTTTTGTCTAAAGTTGATCAGTTGCTTATCTTTAACATACCGCAAAAAACCTCTTTAGTATTTGTGAAGATTAACAAGTTTAAAATAAAAAGAATCATAACATCTCTGTTTCATTTTACTTTTAAGTAAAGTTGGTTCGGCCCCCGAACACAGTTCAGATTTTTCATGTGCCCTCACCCCTGCACTATACAGCCCGAAAAACCTACAGCAACCAGCACAATACTGAATTTAAAGGTTATGCCAGGGTACTATGAACTTGCTTCATATGGTTCTTGTAGCTATGGTCTGGATGGATTTCATTTAAAACAAATTTACATCAATTGATTTAAATTTTTTAAAAATTTAATTTTTGTTTGATTATCTTAAAAAAAAATTAAATTTAAATTTTGAGTTAAACTGTTGATTTTTATCCACCCTGGCTACGGTACACAATGGGGAGACTGTTGCAGGAATGATTAGACAACAACCCAATAGACAACCCAGTAGACAACATCCAACAACCCAATAGACAACATCCAATAATGGCCAATATCCAATTCATTCCAGCATAATGTAAAATTATGCTTGGTGGAAATAGCTGTGGCCCTATCTCGATGTGGGGGCGCTCACTACCTTGGTGCATGCGCTCGTAATCTCAAGATTAGACCACTGTAATGCGCTCTACGTGGGGCTGCCTTTGAGGCTGCTGCGGAAACTTCAGTGGTGCAGAATGCGGCGGCCAGACTCCTCAGTGGTGTGAAAAAATACCAACACATTTCACCCACTCTGGCCGCATTGCATTGGCTGCCAATCCACTTCCGCATCGACTTCAAAGTGTTGATGCTTATGTATAAAGCCCTAAACGGTTTAGGGCCTCGATACTTGGCGGAACGCCTACTCCCACCAAGATCTACCCGTGTCCCTCGCATGAGCCAGGAGGTGAGGCTGAGGAGCCTAATGCCGAGGGAGGCCTGGAGGGCCTTCTCGGCGGTGGCTCCTCGCCTCTGGAATAATCTACCTCCTGATATCCGCGCGGCTCCCTCGCTGGGTACTTTCAAAAATCAACTAACAACATTGATGTTTCGGCAGGCCTTCCCCTCAGTTAATTCCTGACCTCCCTTTTTTTCCTCTCCCTATTCTCTGTCTTCCTTGTTCAAAGTTTTCTATGTAAAACTGTTTTTATATATATTGTTGTATGTTTTTTGTAAGCCGCCTAGAGTGATCTTAATCGACTAGGCAGGCGGGATATAAATTAAATAACTAACTAAATAAATAAATATGTTAGATATTACACTGGGCAACAAGGGATTGCATAGTTAAAAGCGCTTCGAAGATTACAGTTCTGCGGCAGCCATTGTACAACTACTACAGATATAACCACGAGTTGCATGAATATAGTTGTGCAAGAGGATTTTGGCCAGTGTGTTCCTCAAGTACTGTAATACTTGAAAAAGTTTAAATATTCCATACAGTATATGTTTGAAAAAGCCTCTGTATTTATCTCTTCAAGGGTTTCCAAGACTTTTGTAATGTTCCTGTCAATTTTATATTCAATTTCCGCAAGACTTTCCTAATTTAAGAATATCATCATCATCATCATCATCATCGTTATTAACTAGTACTTTCAACAAGCCCCTAATAAACTTTTTAAAAATAAAACTAACAGCTAACTTCCCATTTCTTTTTTGAATGCCTTTCCTCCATACCTTCTCAAACTGATCACAATGTATATGTTTTAATTTCTGCCTTGGATTCATCCTCTCCTTTTGAGTACAGTGGTGCCTTGCTTAACGAGCGCATCGTATAGCTTACCGATGGCCTCTATGGCCAAAACTCGCATTGCGAAGATCGGTAAGCGTTTCGCTTACCGATCTTCGCATTGCGACGCCAGGAAATCAGCTGTTCAGCGGCTCCAAAATGGCCGCCGGACGACCCAAAATGGCTGCCGCAACCATTTTCGTGCCCTGCCCTCGCTTACCGAGGGCGCGAAAATGGTGGCGCTATGAGGAAACTTCGCTTAACTGTGAGTATAGAAGCCACTGGAACGCATTAAACTAAGTTTAATGCGTTCCAATGGCATTTTGCGTCCCGTTTAGCGATGTTTCCTCATAGCGAGGGTTAATCCGGAACGGATTAACCTCGCTATGCGGGGCACCACTGTACTTTGTGAAAGACTGTGACTAGAGATGGGCATCCATACCGATTGTCAGATCGTCATACTGACACCACAGGTGACACGGTCCGGTCTGCCACCCCCACCCCCAGCTGGATTCACTCATTCACCAGCTGGCACATACTCCACTTCTCCTCTTTGGTTGTTTCACCAGTTGCAGCAGGAGCACGGACTTCTCTTCTCTCTCTCCCCCAGCAGCTGCCCATTCAGACAAGAAGGTGGGGCACGGATTGCTGAAGCACTGCCTTTGAGTTGGCAGCTGCTGGAGAAGGCAGGGAAGGAAACTTCTGCCACAACTGATAAAATGACTGAAGAGGAGGAGGAGTTGGGTGGGCAGGCTGGTGAGCAGAGGAATTCAGGCGGGGTGAAGGACCTGTGGTGCCAGTATGATGATCCAGCACAATCTGATGATTTGGATTCATGCCCATCTCTAAATGTGATACATGACAATACTGAAAGTAATTCTAATAATTTCTGTTATCCCGTTCTTATCATCATTCTTGGCATAAAGGTAAAGGTTCCCCTTGACAATTTTTGTCCAGTAGTGTCCGACTCTAGGGGACAGTGCTCATCCCCGTTTCCAAACCATACAGCCAGCATTTTGTCCGAAGATGATCTTACATGGTCACATGGCCAGTGCGACTTAGACACGGAACGCTGTTACCTTCCCACCAAGGTGGTCCCTATTTATCTACTTGCATTTGCATGCTTTCAAACCGCTAGGTTGGCGGGAGCTGGGACAAGCGACGGGCGCTCACTCTGTCACGTGGATTTGATCTTACGACTGCTGGTCTTCTGACCCTGCAGCACAGGATTCTGCGGTTTAGCCCGCAGCACCACCACGTCCCTCATTCTTGGCATACATAACCATTAAAATCTAGGTTGGACAGACTTCCATTCAGATCCATGTACTAGTTTTATTATTATCAGTTTCCCAATCTGATCCTGAATTATTAAGTCCAATATAGCCAAAGTACCTCATTTTTAAGGTTTTGATCTAATTGTTACCTTTAAATCTTTCTCATCCCTCAGTGGGACAATAAATATCAGCATATCTCTCCCACACTGGCTGCCTTGCATTGGCTGCGCGTTCGCTTCCGCATTGATTTCAAAGTGTTAATGATGACATATAAAGTCCTAAATCGTTTAGGACCTCAATATCTAGCGGAACGCCTCCTCCCACCTAGATCTACCAGAATCACTTGTTCTAGCCAGGAAGGGCAGCTGAGGGGCCTAACGCTGAGGGAGGCCCAGAGGGAAAGAACAAGAAACCGGGCCTTCTCAGCAGTGGCCCCTCGCCTTTGGAACAGTCTGCCCCCAGAGATCTGTCTGGCTCCCTTGATGGATGTTTTTAAGAGCAAACTTAAGACCTGCCTATTTAGGCAGGCTTTCCCTCCTGTAATCACTTGAATATTTTTCCCCTATTTTGAACCATATTGCTACTGTTTTTTATTTCATTATATGTTTTTATTATATCTATTATTGTTAGCCTCCCAGAGTAGACTTCGGTCTAGATGGGTGGCGTATAAATTCAAATAAATAAATACATAAATAAACAAACAAACAAACAAATCAAAAACTATTAACATTAATCTTCACTTCAATTCTATTTCTCTTCTTACATTATTACAGGTAGTCCTGGTACAGTTAGTTCACCACACATGTATGTTTCATCTTTTTATAATCTTGCTGGTCTGCAACCATAACAAAGAAGGATCATGAAATATGCTAATCCTCAACTTTTTTTTTTAATTCAAATGTTGGTTTTTAAGTTAAAACTTCACTTGTCCAACAATACCTGTTTCAGCATAACATTCCAACACAACCACCTTATAACACCAGGGTTTACGTGTCCCCATTCCAATACTATTTCACATGTAATGCAATTCCTGGCTCTGAATGATTTTGTTCACATCAAATACTATGTTCCAACATCCTAATATCTTAACAGACTATTTAAACATCAGACAGTCTCAGATTTAAATTTTAGGATTAAGCCCAAATGACCCCACTCATGTATTTTGCCAATCCGTTTACAGTTTTATTTTAGTATTTTGTTTTGTGGGTTTGTTTCAGTTATTGATCCCTATGTTGTGAATCAGAAAGATGTTTACAGCTTGCTGTGGTTCAGATTCATCATCTTACATGGATTTCTCTACACTGAAACACTGTAACAAAACGTAGATGCAGAAGACTTACAAAAGCCACATCGAGTTCCTCCTTCAAAGACAAATCCATTAGGAACTGCTCCATAACGTCGCAAATCTGAGAGTTTCCATTGCCCCATTATAGAGGGTGGGTTGTCTTTTACCAGTACTAGAATATCATTGCAGAAATGGAGAGTTGCTGGTCCACTTTCCAGTTTAGTTCCAGGTGCAACCACAACATGAAACCTATGAACTATTAGGGCGGAAGGGAGAAAGAAGATACAAATTAAAGAGAATGAGTGGAACAAATTGAATAACTAAATATGCAAGGATACGTTTCATTATATCTGAGAAACAAATGTTTTTGTTAGCTTTATCTACTTTTCCAAAAGGCAAAAAGAAAAAACAAGGAGAAAAGCACAGTATCTATTTAGTTTAAGATCCTTTTTTGTTGCTCAGCACAACTTTTTGCTTGGCTAAAACACCAAGTCTATATGCTTCCAGAAAGAATTTTTACTTAAACCATTTCGAAAACAGTGTCAGCCGCATGTTACTTGGGCTGAGTTGTCTCAGATAGGCATGGACTACATTTTGGTTAACATCAAAATCAACTACACTCCATAGGCTCAATAAAAATTGTTATAAATGGTTTTAAAAACTTAATCTAGCACAAGTGGCTAAGCCAGGTAAGATCTGCAAATGGAGGAAAGGATTGAAAGCCTAATCAATGAGAGGGGTGGGAAAATTAGGATTTTGCACCACATATAAAACAGGGAAAAAAGAGATAACTTCCTTTCTATGAAATAGAAATTACAGTGGTACCTCGCAAGACGACCACCCCGATAAACGATGAATCCGCATAACGATGACTTTTTGCGATTACTATAGCAATTCGCAAAACAGTCATTCCAATGGGGAATTTTTGCTGGATGTTGATTAGGTCTGTGCTTTGCAAACTGTTCGCAAGACAATGATTTTTTCCAATGATCGTCAGCTTCGCAAAATGGCTGCCCTGTGTTTTCTGGACACATGCTTCGCAGGGCAGCCATTTTTACAGCTGATCGGCGCTCACAAAATGGCTTCCCTATGGACAATCTTCACTGGACGACAGGGTATTTTCCCTATTGGAATGCATTAAACCGGGTTTCAATGCATTCTAATGGGGAAAGGGTTTTCGCATGACGACTATTTCGCTAAACAGCGATTTCAATGGGACAGATTATCAACTTCATGCGGGGCACCACTGTACGTATCTGACTAGCTCCCTAGGAAACTGAACATTATCACAATCAAATAACATTGAAACAGGAAAAATGGAGAGAGGAAGTCAGTGGAGCCACAGCATGTTCAGTGACTATATGAGGCCTAAACATACTGAGAGGAAAGGAACTGAAAACCAGGGGAGAAGAGAAATTAAACAGAAAACTACAGAAGATGGCATAGTTAGAACCCTGAGCAGAGCCACTCCTTCCTGCTGTTGTTGTTTAGTCGTGTCCGACTCTTCGTGACCCCCCATGGACCAGAGCACAGGAGGGCCTCCTGTCTTCCACTGCCTCTCTTCCTAGCAAAAGGCAAAAGTTGAGCCAAAAAAATCTACTATCTTTCATTACTTCCTGTCAGAAAAGGCAGCATAGCATTCAGTGAGTATACCTTCTCCTCTCTCTAAATAAAGACACTTGAAGACTGCAAGGAATTGGCTTGGAAAATTGGTGTGACAGCATGACCTCCTTTAGGATGTCAGGTAGGAGCAAAAATAAAGTCAGCCAACAGCATGCAATTTATCCTTTGGGAAATAAGCCAGATAGAGCATTTGTATGAAGCAAAGCTTGACCGATGGTGACAAGCTACAGGGAGCATTGGTCCCTTGTGTGAAACAAAAATGAAATATAAACTTAGAATTTGTATGTCATTTCTCCAGTATCACCTCTTGCAGTCCTAACTGTGCATGATGCAGCAATTTTAATACTATAAAAATTAGAGCTTTTTATAATACTATAAGAGACAAACTTTACTTCCTGTCATATTAATTCATTTCTTTGATGTCAGAAGCCCTAAATTTACAGCTTCTTATAAAGGAAATTTACAAATATATCTTATAAATATCAATTTAGATCTTTAAATATATTAAATGAAGGCTAACTTCAAAGGAAATAACTCACTGCCATATAACTATGACATCACTGTGAACACTGGACGGGCCTGAAATTAGTATCTCCACTTGATTTGTCTTCTAACACAACCACCTTTTTTGAGAAACACTTTGTAAAAAGAAAGGAAGAAGAAGGCAGCAACAGGTATTTGTCAGAATTCAAACTTCCATTAGTCATATTCACACCCAGTAGAGCAGAACATGAAATGTTATTTTTGTTAAATAAAGTGCCTTCATTCATTACTTCTACTGGAAAGTTTTTTCTTTGACCATTGTCCATTGTTTTAAGATGGGGAGGTAATTCAGTTTTGAAGCCAAATCCCGCCCCAAGTCCTCCACGGGCTGCAACAACTGCAAAATACCAAATCGCAAAAAACACTGAGAAAGAGGCTTTTAAACTGTTAAAAGTGTGCTTGAGTCCCTGTGATTCCTATAAAAGGTGAACTGAACCCTCTGAAAGCTTCCAGGTTCAGCAATGCACCATTTTCATTTGGTTGCGAAATTGGCAATCAGCAAGGTTAGTTTGGAGGATAAAGGAAAGAGTGGACAGAGTGAAGGACTCAGGAGTTCAAATACCTGCTCAGCCATGGAATTTTGCTGAGGATGTGGAACTCATAAAACCACTCAAAATCCTCATTTACCTTGAAAGCCCTTTTAGGGACACTATGAGTTGATTCCTACTTGACAAAACATAACAACAAAGTTTAGTTTGGAGATCTGGGTTTTGCAAAAACAGCCCTGGGAAAGCACATTTTATTGCTTAGTAGTACATTGGCAATGCATTGGTTTTTTGATCTTTAAAAAAGAGAAAATTCTAAAGAACAAAACAGCAAATATAACTCCCTCAATAAGTAAATATCTTCCTTATTTCACTTTAAACTAGCAATGTCATAAGTTTTTATACTAATGTGTAAAAGTGATGTTGATTTCCATTAACCCACAGAATATGTTACAAGTAATGCTGTTACACATTGTATATTACTTCTGAGCTTTTGGCAGAATATACTGTATGTGCACAAAACAGCGCTGCATCTAAAGAAGGGACTGTGTTTGCAAACATGTTGGTTCGGATGGCAGCACTCATCTGCAGTAACATCCATGAAAGTTTCTGAATATAGAAATGACCTTCATTTTGAATGTTTTCTATTGTTCTCCGTGTCACGAAATCAATCATATACTCTATGGCATTCAAATATTTTAAAATAGCATAAATCTACAAGTTTCAAAACCTCATTTATATGTCAACTTATTTGAGGTTAATGATCTTAGGCAAAGGTATAATAGGAGTGTTGCAAAAATACACTCATGTAGCCCGGGGGGGGGAGCCCAATTACACCCAATTAAGGGAGTCTTTCCAAAGTTTTTATTCTTTGAGCAATGGCACAGGAGCCATTGCTCAAAGCTATGAGTGTCTTCCCAATCAAGGGAAAGGTCCTCTTTTTAAGGACACACTAGTTAGATACAACTCAACACTTAATTTTAAAATCAGTCAACTAAAACAAATACTTTGTTACCTCAAGATTTATCTTACTAGTCATACATTCCAAGGCATAGATAAGCAAGACCAAACGTAAAGCACCACATTCTTACTAATTTAATCTCTAGATTATACATTGCTAGCAACACTCCACAGAGGTTACATTTATGTGCACATAAGGTTGTACAGTGGTCCCTAGTTGCGAAAATTTTGAGATACGAAAAGCCCCGGCCGCAAAATATTGCTTCGACTTTGCATGCTGTGCCTTCTAGGGTTTGTGTACTGTGTGACCTGTCTGTTGTTTGAAAATGTGTGGGTTTAAAATGTGGCTTCAAAATCTTCTTTTTCTTTGGGGATCTGTTTGCTGTAATAATGGTTGCTAGTTGTTGATGCAAGTAGGATGTAAAATGCAGTTTAGACTCCACAGTCTTTTTTTCTTAAAATCAGAAAATATTCTGTGAGGGGCTGTGCTGGCTGTTGATGCAGGCAGGCTGTAAAATGCAGTTTAGACTCTCTTTTTGTCATGAGGAGTTCTGTGCTGGAATAATGCTTGCTGGATTCTGTGGCTCCTAGGATTTGTTGCAGTGTGACCTCTCTTTTGTTTTAAAATGTGTGTTTAAAATGCGGCTTCAAAGTCTTTTTTTCTTTGGGGATCTGTTTGCTGTAATAATGGTTGCTGGTTGTTGATGCAGGCAGGCTTTAAAATGGAGTTTTAAAATGGAGTCTACTGGAGACTCAAGGCTCTCCCTCCCCCATTGTCTTCTCTCTCTCTCTCTCCCTCTATGCTCTCTTTTTGTGATGAAGAGTTCTGTGCTGGAATAATGCTTGCTGGGATCTTTGGCTTTTTTAAAGGTGTTCTCCTGCCCTTTTTTAAGCTAAAAGGTGCTTGTTTTTGTTTAAAAGGTGCTTGTTTTTAAAGGTGTTCTATTTAAAAGGTGTTCCCTCCCCCCTTTCCTGCCCTTTTATTGACCTAAGTTCATCTTAGGTCAAAAGAAGAAAAATTCTGCCCCTAGTGGTAGAATTCGGATTAACCGGCTTTGCATTAGTTCCTATGGGAACTAATTCTTCGATTTAAGAACGGCGCCTCTAGATAAGAACGAAAAACAGCCGGAAAAGATTAAATGGTTTTCAATGCATTCCTATGGGAAATGGTGAATTTCGAGATGTGGTCACCGTTCCAATACGGATTAATTTTGTAAGTCGAGGCACCACTATACAGACTTGGAAGGGTCTTTTAAAATGGTTACATTATTTCTAATCAAGAAACAAAGTTTAATTAACATTTATAGCAAGAGGGCTAGAAGGACCTATTAGATCAGTGATGGCAAACCTTTCTGAGCACGAGTGCCCAAACTGGGGGGGGGGGGAACCCCCCACAACCTGGCAGATGGTGGTGGCGGAAGCAGAAGTGGTGGCAGAAGGGGGAATCCCGAGCATGGATCCACCTCCAGTCATGCCCAACCCCACCACTGCCTATAGATCGGCTGGCAACTTGACTTCTTTCTTGTTAGGTTGAAACATTTTGCTACTCATCCAGGTAGCTTCTTCAGTCTGAGGAGAGTTGGTAGGAGACCCATGATATATGAACTCTCCTCAGAATGAAGAAGCTACTTGGATGAGTACTAAATGTTTCAACCTAACAAAAAAGAAGTCCAGTTACCATGACTTAACTTCCAGATATTTTTCTAAGATTAAGAATTTAACTATATCAGGTTCATGCAACTTCAGAAGACAATTTTTGCACTTCCAGGAACCTCCACGGATTGTAGCAAGCTCCCCCCCACCCAAAAAAACTTCTGTTTCCTATAAAACTACTTTCAATTTTTTTTTTAAGACGGGGGAGTTTGGTTGACCCTGCAAATAATTTAATGGCAAAACTGCTGCTCCCAAACTCTTCCAGTAGCATTGTGATCATTCCATTACTCCCAAGTACTCACCATTAATTAATTAATTACCAGGGGGCATAATAGGGTAAAAACGTATAGGGGAGACACACATTTCACACCTACAGTTTCCCAGATTCAGCAGCTCTTAGGTCTAAAGGAGAAGTTGAGGCCTAGGGAGATCCTTACAGTAAATTCTGGTTTATATGTTTCCACGTCAGTCATTAATTGTTTGATGGCTCTTAGTGGTTATCCTTATTGATGTCTGCAAAGATATTAAGGGTACATTTCTTTCTGATCCATTTCTCACCTGGCAATGATGTAAGTAAACAGCAGGCTTCTATGCAGAACATCTCAGAACTGAGCTTAAGGTTTGGGGTGCAGCCTGATTTCCTAAAATATCTGATGTGGGAAGACTAGATTAAGAAGTCTGTGTTGCAGTGTAAAGCTGTGAGCCTCCACCTATGCTCAACCTGCACATTTGTAAATAAACAAGCATTTACAGTACTCTCTTCTGTGACTTCATTCCAAAGGAAAAATACGAAGTTCCCAAGAAATTCCTATCAGTCAGAGAACTGGAGAGTGTGAAACAAGTTGAGAAGCAAAGATTACCTTCACCTAAACTGTAGCGGATTCGTACATCCCAGGCATGCATGGTTTCTTTGTTGTCAAAACCCAGCACAACAACTTGAGTCAAACAGATGATGGCAAGTGTGTGATTCAGACCCTCATAAAAGAGGCCAGGTTCCAAGCCACAAATGTCTTCCAAAGTCACACTCGTCCGTTCTTTCAGACCCTTCATTCGTTCAGATTTTTCCTTATATATCAGCATGAGCAAGCAATCTGAAAGCAGAAAAGCAACAATCAAATACAGTGCTGGGCATATCATCAGTGCTACCGAATATTCATTTTTTTCTGAAATACTTCCTGTTGAGATATCCTAGGTAATAAAATATTATTACAAATAAGCATAGCATACAATGCAAGAGAAGAAATAATTATAGGTATTAGTCTTCTAGGTAGCTCAGATGAACAAACCCTGCTATCCACCACAAAGTCTTCCTTATTGGACAATCTGTAATTGCCAAAAACAGTTAACTCTACTGCCCCACATGATGATCATTATTATTATTTCAATATGGATCTCTGGGTTAAATCCACCTACTTTTCTATGCAAATAATATATTTCTTCAGAAAAATAAAGATACGTATCACTCCTGAATCCAAGTAAAAACTTATGTAAACATCTTTATTTGTTAAGAACTCGGCAAGGCTTTCAATGCACTATTGAGGGTTCTAACATGCCCCATGGCCAAGAGCCTCTCAGCATGGAAAAGATGCACTGCATGAGACTGAATGGGTGTCATAAGAGTAGAGTAGACACATTCTAGATGGGCGGTATAAAAATGAATGAATAAATAAATAAATAAATAAATGAATGAATGAATGAATGAATGAATAAATAAATAAAATAGAGAAGTTTCACCAACATCTACTGCTATGGAAATAGTACTTCAAATGGGTTCTAAGCCACATTTGGTTGGATTTATCATGAGTTTTCTTCCCACCATCCTCTAGTTATTGTTTCAGCTGTGGCACAGTCAGCCCTTCTCCAGAAAACTAATGACAGGGTTGAGCACTGGTCAGGAGAGGGTATTTTTCATCTATGTATATGAGTTTGTAATGCAGACATTCCCAAAAGCATGGACAAGATAGACAAGATAGCTGCGAAAGCCAGCAACCAACGTACCCTCCAATTTTCAGCCCCACTGGGGAGCCCCCCCTCTCGCAACTTCACCCCTGCATGCACGTGCAATTCTGCCCCACTTGTGTGCAGGGTTCTGTCACGACCAGAACCAAAGGTGCTAAACATGATCGATGCACAGAGAAAAAGCGCTGTGTGGAGAGAGGTGAAGTCACGCCTGCCCATGTGTCCGGCTTAGTGGAAACTTGGCCAGCAACTGTTCTAGGAAGCTATGTAAATTCAAATTTAATAAGCCCACTGCAGAGCAATCTCCACCACAGATTGTATGATCTAATGTTGAATGTTGAATTCAACTAATGTTGAATTCCCAAGCCATTCTTAATTAAGGAAACTTCCGTACATGTTGACCTCTCCCCATTCATAATATCATATGGGACAGAATCTCTGTCAGCTGGGTCATGGAGAATGTTAGGCAGCAGAGTGGGTAATACATCTGTAAAATCCTCGCACTATCTTGACTGCCTATCAGCACATACTCTCCTATGTTCAGAGAAGGTTATCCTTTGAACTCATCAAATGAGGCAGAATCTTTGTGGGCTATCACTAGCCCACATTTTCCCCATCTATTGACTCTAAAATACTTTATTCCAATTACCCAAGTGGAAGCAAGTGGGACAAAACAGCTCTGATATGTATCTGTCATATTCATCAGGCTGGTCCACTTGTGACTGATTTTGTTGTGAATTATTGCTATTTTATTTTGAACTGGGAGAACTCACAAATGTCTCACCCATTTTTACATATGAAGCATTTCTCCCACTACGATACATATCTAACGGAAAATGAGCCTCTCTTCGGCATTACGTGCCTGAGCAATGACACACTAGCAAAATGAAGCTTATTCAGAGCAAACCACAAACCATCTCTACCACCTAGCCATTGACCATGCTTCTTGGTGCTGCTGAAACCTGTAATCCAAAACTTTAGGAGGAGGCAGAGGCCAAAAGGCCTTTTGTAGATGTCAGCTAAGTGACATGTCACAAAATGCTCAGCTGCTGTTACTGGAAAGAAATCACACACAAACTTAATGGAAAGATAATCCACTTTCACCAGACCAACAAATGCCTCTCTTGGTTGTTATGGGTCTTTCGGGCTGTTTGGACATATTCTGGAGGTCGAAGGCTGTGAAAGCCTTTGAGAACACAAATGGCTCTCTCTTTTGAACATTTGAGATTCTATTAAAATTGGGGCATACCCAATTTTGTTACAATATAAAATATTCAAAAAGGAGAGGGGGGGTATTTGCATTCATTTACGAATAAATATCCACGCACAGCTGGATTTAACGAGTGGCCAGCCCCTGTGGCTGGCTCATCCACTCATGCGTCTGGCAGTGGCTGCAGCCTCGCTCCTCCTTCCCATCGCTCCCAGAGCTCCGCTCTCTTCCTGCTTGCCTGGCCATTCCAGGCAGTGGAAGGAAGGATGAGTCTCCCTGCATGACTGTTGAGTCGCCAGGAGAGCAGGAAGAGAGCGGAGCTCCAGGAGTGATTGGAAGGATGAGTAAGGCTGCCGCCACTGCCAGACATGTGAGTGGATGAGCCAGGTACAGGGGCCAGCCCCTTGTTAAATCCACCTGCGTGGGGATATTCATCTCTAGCAACCCCATGGTCCCCAGCCTGTTTGATTCAAAGTGCATATGATGGCTCCTATGGGTATTACATGTGCAATTTCCGCCATTCATTATACAGAAATAAAACATATTTAAATTTTGTATTTTAAAATAAGAGATTAATATAATTTACAACTCAAGCATCGACTTAACACAGAAATCCAAACCAATATTTTGGAGACCTGTGATCTTGGAATCTTTGAGCTATCCAATGCCATTCCAGGCTTGTTACTTCCTAGCGGTTTTTCTTTTTTTTTTCCCAGCAGATTCCGTCCCAATGAATGAAACAGAAATGTATCTGTATCAACTACAGGAGTGCCTAGACTAGCAGCAAATGTGGGGAAATGATTGGGAATCAGGGCTCTGCAGGCCTGTAGGAACCATAAGCTCAGTCAAGTTCTCTCTGACCCTCTCATCAACCTCCCCACATCAGGGATCAGCATAAGCAGCATTGTAAGGGTTGTGGACCTTCCTGAGGAAACTGGCAGGCAGAAACCTCTCAGAGTAGGCCTCTGATATACCATGTGGTCCCAGGAACACTGTCACAGATACCCTAAATATGCTTTCTTATCAATTACAAATGTAAATCCAGGAAATGGCACCCATTCTGTATTTCCCCTCTGCCTTCATTAAACAGATTTGCCAAAACTGTGACATGCACTGTTGTCTGAAATTCCATACAGGGATAAATATTGATGTGGCAAATACTGCATGATCTTGTACATGGCTATGGCTAAGTGCAGTACAACAGCTGTTATGGTTAATTACACTTATCCGCTGAAGTCCTACTGCTTACTGTAGTAAGTTGCAACTAGGGTAGGTCCACCACTCAATCAATGGAACTCACAAAGAAGTTGGTTCAACAAATTCTCACTAATTCAATCAATGAATCTACTCTAATTGCAAGTTACTATGCAAAGCAGCAGGATCTCAGCCATCAAGTAACTTCATACATAAAATGCCACAAATACCATATCTGGTGTTTCTATCCAAAACCGTTTATAAGGTAAAAACAAACTGAAGTTGTATCCACAAATTCATCCACAAATACAAGTGTTGTAAAAGAGTTTAGGAATGGAAAAGGATACAGTACAGTACTTGTTTCTAAATCTAGAAAGGCTGAAGAACAGGAACAAGTTTTCACCTGCTGTTTAAATACTGTACACAGGCAGACGGAGATAACACTTAGCTTGCCAAAAAAGAAAGCACAATAGTACTTTAGTTAACTGAAAGCTGTCTGCCGGATGAAGCACGTGGCCGTTTAGTTGTGTTCAAAATGTTATGCGAACGAGAGGACCCAGTCTCACAAATCGTAAACTGAAGGGCCGAACATAGGAGTCTTTCCTAATTAAATCGAAGCTTCGATTTTTAAGTCTTAATTTATCTCTATAACAAGGAGCGTCTACCGATTTACGCTGAGCGGCCGCCCAAGGCCACGTTGCCTTCGCCGGCCTTTCCCGACGACCACGCAGGCCCTCCTCCACCTTCCATAGTCTCTCTTGCTAAATTTAGCCCCTCTCCTCCCCCCTCCCCGCTTGCCCGGCAGGAAGAGAAAGAAGAGCTCCGGGCCAGAGAGAGAGAGAGACGAGGGCAGCTTTGCGGACGGTGGGGGAACGGTCTCCTCCGCCTTTGGCCTCCCGCGTCCCGCCTAATTCCGGGGCCATCCCACGCGCCTTTGGCGCTCCCGGCCGCGTCGTTCTCCTTCCTCTACCGACGACACGGGGTCCTCTGGGTCTCCTGGAGGCTAGCCGGGTCCTCCTCCTCCACTTCCCATGAAAACCCCCATTTGCCCCGCTCCCCACCACCACCACCACTTGCAAGCTCCTGGACTCACCCGCAACCGGGGAAGGTTTGCGCAGCACCACCCATCTATTCTTCCACTGTGGGGACAAAAAGAGAGAGAGAGAAAGCCGTTGGAGGGGGGCTGCATGCAGTCCCTTCTTCCTCACCCACCCGCAAACTGAACAACTTGCCGGGGGAAATGGCCCCTCCTGTTCCACCCCGGATTTTAAAAAAAAAAAAAAGTGGCCAAGCCCGGGCAAGAGGGTTTCGCGTCGGGGACCTTTTTTCCATCTCTCCACTTGAGCTGGCCCTCCACCACCACGGCGGAATCCGTCATCTTCAGTCATGATTTCCGACAGCTGCTGCCGCCGCTAGCTTACTGGAGCTGCGGCGGGGTCACTTTCAAAATAGCTTTATTGGGTCACTTGCTCTCGGAGCAAGGCGGGGCTGGGGCGCGAGAGGGGAGAGAGCGCGCGCGTGGCGGGGAGGGGGGCGCGCGGGCGGGCGGCAACAAGCCTGCGGCTATAAAAGGGGGCTGCACTTCTTCACGTCCTTCTAAGCCCAGCCTGCCTCCCGTCGTGGCAGATTCGGGATCGAGGGGCGACCTTGCCCACGACATGTCATTGGTGGCACTCTGAGAGTGGCAGGGCAAATCGAACCTGTTCCCCACGAAGGGGAAGGCGCGCTTGGTAGGATTAATATACTTCCCTCAAAAGGATTTCCTCGGAAATTCTGCTTTAGCGATCAGTGTCGCAAATTTAGCCGGTGTTTACCTATCAAAGGTCGGTCGCACTCCTTCTAAAAACCTGTGCTAAGCCTATGGTCTAGTTTGACCCTCAGAGATTAAAAAAAAGGCACGGGGAGGACCAGGTTACTCTTCTTGTCCAGTTGCTTTGTTTCTGCTCCTAGATGGGATGACAATGGCGACTGGGCTTCTTCGAGAAGTAGCATCTGTTTGTTGTACACTCCTGCCCTTTCAAATTGTTCTCCAAGAATCACGTTCCCAAACTATACTGAAGATTTACTAGATCAGTAGAACCCAATATCAGCACAACCTTCAAGAAGCCTTGTTTAGAATCTGAAGACAAGGGTGGGTGAGACCTTCATTAGTTCAGTAAAATATAACAGTAGTTAGCATTCTTCATTGGGCTGCATACCGTTTCCGCATTGACTTCAAAGTGTTAATGCTTACATACTATAAAGCCCTAAACGGTTTAGGACCTCGATACTTGGCGGAACACTTACTCCCAACTAGTTCTACCTGTGTCACCCACACGAGCCAGGAGGTGAGGCTGAGGAGCCTGACGCCGAGGGAGGCCCGGAAAGAAAGAACTAGAAACCGGGCTTTCTCGGCGGTGGCTCCTCGTCTCTGGAATAACCTACCTCCAGAGATTCACGCTGCACCCTTGCTGGGTACTTTTAAGAACCAACTAAAAACATGGATGTATAGGCAGGCCTTCCCTTACAGTTAATTCCTGTCCTCTTTCCGTTTTTTTCCTCTTTATTTGATTTATTTTTATTTTTCCCATCTTATAGAATCATTTAATTAATTAATTGTTATAAATTTTTTTGAACTTGTTATCCTTATCTTGTAAGCTGCCTAGAGTGGTCGAAATGACTAGATAGGCGGGGGATAAATACAATAAATAAAATAAATAAATAAATAAATGAATTATGGAGCAGGAGGTAGATAGTGCAGAAAAAACAAAAACATTCCAAAATCCATAGCCAGATGTTCTTTGTTTAAAGCAACCTTCAGAATGAGGGCTGCAGCATCTGCTTAGAGATGTTAGGTCTTATATTCACCTTTGGCAATGTGGATTAGTGTGCCCCAGACTTGTTTTTGAAAGGTGGTGCTGGAGGAGGGTGTTACAGATAACTTGGATTTCCAGAAAGATGAACAAGGGGTCCTAGATAAAACCATGCCTATCACTGGAGGCAAATATGATGAGATTGAGGCTGTCCTGCTTTGGGCACATCATGAGAAGGCAAGATTCTCTGGAAAAGACAATAATTCTGGAAAAAGTTGAAGGCAAGAGGAAAAGAGGAGGACTAAATTCAAGATGGATCGACTCCCAGAGTCTTGAGGTTACAAGAGCTGAGCAAGGCTGCTAAAAACAGGATATTTTGGAGATCTCTCATTCATTGGATATAGTCAGAGTCAACTTGATGGCACATAACAACAAACCTGTTAGAAACAGAGCTGCCAGCGACTAAGTACCTCAACACCATAATGTTTTGTATTGAAACAGATGGTTCCCTTTCGACTGGGGAAAAATGCACATGGAAATATCACTAATCCCAAAGGTGCAATAAAATCTGATGTACAGATTAGATAAACCAATTGCACCCAAACTGGAAGCATTACCTAGTAGTTGGAGGAAGATGTTTTCCTCAGTTTGCCGTCCCACTTGGGCTGTGTTAACTGCCTTTTCTTGGCTGTAAATAACCATGAAGCTTGCTGTAAACAAAGAACCTGGCCTGCACACTGAGCCAGAGATTTTGGAACGTCTGTTTTTTCTGCACCACCCAGCCTGATGAAGACTTGTAGGAAGTGGAAAGCTAGCCTCTGTCTGCAACCTTTCAGTTGTCTAATAAAAAGTGTCACCCACCCTTGGAATTGTGTATAAGGACCACACAGTATTTGTTTGTTTGTCTCAAAATGAAGCAATGAGAACAAGAGGCTGTCCAAACATAATTCTACAGAATTGTGCCTTTTTGGTGCTGAGTTTGGCATCATCATCATCCCATCTATGGGGACAGGCCTTGTTGACACAGAGGTGCTTGCGTGCTTCAGTGAGGATGAAAGTCATGCTGGCGGTAGTGTTGCTACCTGAAGAGTCTCCCAAGCCAGACAATTCTCAGCTGAGAAGTCAGACCAACTGTGTCCATCAACCATCAATTATGATGAGAAGAAATAAATGGAAATCCATACCGGCTAGAAAATTCAGCTGGAAGGAAAAATAAACAAATTGCGTGCAGACATTAGCAACTGAAAACACTTGAAAGATTCAAAACTTTAAAATAACTAAGTAAAAGCCAGACTGTGCAAAATATATGACCTAGAAAGGAAAACAATTGCTGAAATTATGGATGAATTAAAACAACAGGTAACAGCTACAGCAAAGAAAATTGAAATATATGATGGACACTTGAAACAATATAGAGAAAACACACAATTTCAAAATAACCAACTATTATTCTATACAACCCTAGAAGAAAATGCAAAGCAAAAGAAATTAGGCCCAAGTAAAGATGATGCTCTAAAATTTTTGAACTGAATTTGAGGAAGCCCAATTAGAGATGGAAAGGCCTGGAAAAAAAGCAGAAAAATAGGAAAAAATAGCTTTTTCCCAGTTTTTTCCTGGAAAAAAAATATGGTGTGTGGATTGTGTTCCTTTACAGTGATAAATAATATGTCTATGACATGCTATTTAAACTATATAACATGAATAACTTAATGAAAGACTTTTGAGACTTTCTGTATTTAAGTTCTCTCTAGAGATGTAAACTTTCCAAAAAAAATTTTTTTTTCATAAAACAACAGTGAAAAACAGTTTTCCCCCAGGAAAAAAATGGAAGTTTTCAGAAATTTTATATCTCTAAGCCCAATGGGAAATGCCTCATGGATTAAAGACATTTGTAAAGAAGCTCAGGGAAAGCGTATGGATGATATTGAAATGATAAAGAGACAAGTAAAGGCTGTGAAAAATTGGGGTGGACCTGGTCCAGATGAGTTGCATGGATTTTGGTTAAAGCATTTAACAAGTCTCCATCAACATACAGCAGTGCAATTTAATCACTTGCTCCAAAATTCTACAAGATTGAATGACAGGCCACACATTTCTGGTAATAAAAGATCATCAAAAGGGCAATGAACCCAGTAATTATAAACCAATTATATGCCTTACAACAATGTTCACAGGAGTACATGCAAGATCAATACAGTGGTGCCTCGCAAGACGAGCGCTTCGTTTTACGACGAAATTGCATAACGACGAAGTTTTTGCGATCACAAAAGCGATCACAAAACAATGTTTCCTATGGGTTTTTTTCGCTTTGCGATGATCGGTTCCCTGCTTCGCTAACTGATTGTCGTAAAACGATGATTTTCGCACAGCTGATCGGCGGTTTCAAAATGGCCGCCGGGTAAAAAAAAAAAGGCCACCCGCTGTTTTCTGGGACGGATTCCTTGCTGCACAGGCAGTGAAAATGGCTGCGCTATGGAGGATCTTCGCTGGACAGTGAGTTTCAAGCCCATAGGAACGCATTAATTAGGTTTTAATGCGTTTCTATGGGCTTTTAAAAATCACTTTATGATGTTTTCGTTCTACAGCGATTTCGCTGGAACGAATTAACATCGTAATGCGAGGCACCACTGTATATAATTATTTAATGGAAAAATCCCTATACCCAACTAAACAAAAAGGGAACTTTAAAATGTCAAGAGCCATGAAAGATGACCTGCTAATTGATAAAATGATACTAAAGAATGCAAAAAGATGAACAAATCTTAACATGGCCTGGATAGACTATAAAAAGGCATTTGACTCATTGCCGCACAGTGGGATTAACACCTGCCTAAATTTTGGGATTAGTAAATATATTCAGAAGTTCAAGAAAAACATGAAAAAATGGAAATCTGCTTATTGGCCCATGGCAAAGAAACTGGGGAAGATAACATCAAAAGAGGAATATTTCAAGAGGATTCTTTGTCACCGCTGCTGTTTAACATCTCACTAATTCCAATGTCAATAATTTTAAATAAAACTGGATTTGGCTACCATAGTTCAGAACAAGCAGGAAAAATCAATCATCTCTTATACATGGATAACCTAAAACTATATGCAAAATGTTCTACTAAGACAGAATCACTGCTAATCACAGTGTGAATATTTAATGAGGATAGACAAATGAAATTTGAAATGTACACATTTGCAGCTCTGTCTATACAACGTGGCAAGATCCAAAAAATAAATGGAACAGAGTTTTGAAATTGTGATATTATAAATGCACTATCAAGTGATGAAAATTATAAATGCCTTGGAATACTAGAGTCAGATAACAGCCTGCATACAGAAGTTAAAGAACTGACAGAAAGGAAATATATCAAAAAACTGTGGAAAATCTTAAAATCAAAATTATATGGTAGAAATACATGGACAGTTCCAGTAATTATGTACCCAGCTGGATGAATAGTTTGGACACAAAACAGATTAGAAAAATTGGATTGAAAAACATGGAAACCAATGAACATGTGCCATGCATTACATCCAAAAAGTGATGTGGACACATTATATCTACTACGAAAAATTGGAGGCTGTGGATTGCTACAAATACATCAGGTAGTAGAGGAGAAGAAAAGAAATCTAAATGATTATATCAGTAGAAGCAGAGAAAAATTACATAAGGTGGTGAAAATGAAGAATATTTTGAAAATAACAGAAACAAAGGCTCAATATAAGAAATAACAATTTGAAAATAATTTAAACAGATGGAAAAATAAACAACTACATGTACAATACCTGAGAAATATTGAGGGAAAGCATGATCGTAATTCAACGTGTGTAGCTAAAACTAGGAACCCTTAAGAAAGAAACTGAAGGCTTGATTTTTGCTGCACAAGAACAAGCACTCCAAAACCAACATGATGAAAGCTAAGATTCAAGGAATTGGTGCCAACAGCCAAATGCTAACAACCTGCCAAGAAAATATGAAATTGTGTCACACCTCATCTGCGAACATCCAAAGATTGCACAAACAGGTTACAAAAATTAGACACGGTAAGAGTGGCAAAAATGGTGCACTGGTCATTACGCAAAAAATATAACTCACTAGTCTCCAACCCCCACCCCACCCCCGCAAACATCAGGTAGAGAAGGTGTTAGAAAATAAGGAGGTCAAGATCTTGTGGGACTTCCAGATCCAAACTGAATGACAGCTTGAACATAGCATACCAGACATAGTAGTAAACAATGAAGAAAGGTATGGATCATTGACATCGCAATTCCAGGGGATGCCAGAGTTGAAGATAATGAATTGGAAAAACTTAACAAAATACAGAGATCTGGCAACTGAAACATCTCACTTGTGAATGAAACACACTTTTCACAAACTTAAGGCTGTGGGTTTCTTTTGAAGTCAATCCATCTCCTATTCAGTCTTCCTCTTTTCCAGCTGCCTTCACCCTTTCTTAGCCTTGGCTTCAGATGACGTGCCTAAAGTAGGACTGCCTCAGGTTTGACATTTTTGCTTCCAGAGAAAGTTCAAGCTTGACTTGATATAGGATTCACTCGTTCGTCCTTCTGGCGGACCAGAGAATCTGTAAAAGCTCACTACTGATGGATGCCATGCGTTAGTGCTAGAGGTACAGTATAGCTATCATTTTAAAAGCAAAGATCTTTCCTTGCTCGGTTCTCGCAGTAACAAACGCAAATCGAAAAGTCTTCGCAAAAGTACAAAGAAAGCAGATCTTCGCCGGCTTCGTTAGCGAGGGAGAAAGAATTCTGGCGATTCCTGACGAAAAAAGTAAGAGGTTTACAAAAGAATGTTGAGCGACTTTAGGTGAATTGCATTATCTATCAATACAGGACGTGCAGCCAGACAGAGGCTGTTTACCGGTGTACGGCTGCAAGTTTGTTTTTGATGCAAATACTGTACATTTCCTGCGCGGACTTTTAAGTAAACTGTCACTAACATCCTAGGAAAGCAAAAATCTAATTTCCCTACATGCTTCAGGCGCCAATGTCTTGAAGTCGGTCCAAGAAATGGCATGGTGGGAGCTGTAGTTCTCCAAAAGGGCATTGTCTCTCCCCCCCCCGCACCGCGCCACGCCGCCTTGTGTAGCCGACCAGCCCGAGGGCGAGTGATTGACGGCTCAGTTCAACCACTCGCTGAGGAGGCTATGACTGAGGCGGGCGGGAAGGCCGGCGGACATCTCCCTGGCAACCGTGGCGGGCCGGCCGAGGGCCCCCTTCTCAATTCCCTGGAAGCCCTGCTTGGGTAGAGTCTGTCAGCCCCACAGCGGCGGGGGGGGGCAGACAGGTAAGAGGAAGCCCGCCAGCTCGGATGCTTTTCTCCCTTTGCCTGCTTCGGGGCAGGAGGAGGAGCTTGGATCCCTGGAGAAGGGGTGTGTGTGTGTGTGTGGATGGATGGGTGGGTGGGAGGAAACAATGGGAGGCGGCCGCGGCGAAGTCGACTGGGTTGCGGGAAAACTTTTGAGGCGCTCGCCCTCCCTCCAGAGAACACGCCAGGAGTGTTGTGGCGAGAGGCTCCCTAGGCAGCCTGGTCCCAAGCAGCCGGAACGGGAAGCAGAAAGTTCTGAGTTCGGCGGACGTTTTCCGTAATTCGGAGGTGCGTCCCTGCGGCCCTCTTCCCGGGGGTAGGGGGGTAAGTGGAAGGATGCGTCCCTGCCTAGGAAGCGGGATCGCTCTTACTCGGGAGCCCTTCTTTAATCCACCTGGCCGGCCCGAGGATTTACCACTGGGTTTTTAAAAATTGCCCACTCTTTCATCCGGAGGGGAGGGCCGCTTCGCCCTTCCTGCAAGGAGCTACACATACTTTCTCAGCGTTGCGTGCTGGTGAGGGGTGGATCGTTTCTGTGTGAGCTTTGCTGGGGAATTGTATCCGATAGCAACGGCCAACGCAGGAAGCAAAGGCTAATGAGTAGCCAGCCAGGCAATTGCCGCGGTAGAGGTAAATAACTTTAATGGGGTCCTGCAAGAATCTATACTGCGATGCACCGTTTAACTTATTCGTACATGATCTGAAAGCCAGTCCATATTGACGTGGATAGCCAGTTTTTCTGATAACAGTAGAATTTTTTTAGCATAAATTCCCATGCAAAAGACCAAGAACTTCAAAAGGATATGTTCTAATTGAATAAATGTGCAACACAATGAATCACACATAAGTTGTGGTGTAATATATGTGCTAAGAAATGCTTGGGTAACTAATATTACTTGTGTTTTGTGCTGCTTAGGACTAATGTTTAAAAATTCTCCAGGAAAGGGAATCAGTTATTTCATGTAGGTATTTAATAATAGTGGATTCCAATGGAACCATATGAGATGAAAAAGCATAAAAACCAAGGAGTTGACCAGAAATCTCCTAACTCACCTTCAGAACAGTATTGTTTAAATGACTTTAATCCTGCCTGTGCCCTATCAATTCAGATTAATAAATCTTCCACAATAATATCATGATTGCTGATAACGTAATGTTTAACAAATTTGCGAGAGAATCGGAAACAGTCCTTTTCCTGTCTAAGCACAGGTGATCACATAGGATAAAGTACTTTGGTTCTCTTCTCAGTTGAAATTGATGGAAGACATCAGTTTCATCAAACAGAAACTTTGGTTGGCTTCTCTGCTATTGAATATCTCAGCCAAAAAGGGCATATTAGGCTCTTACCTGTGTTAAAATGTTCTGAGTCCAGTATTTTTTTCTTCAGAAGTAATACCAACTTCTTTAATTAAACTTGGGCCACTTCTTAAAGTGGAAATTATCATTTCAACCACTCCTTTGTTCCCTACCAGATAGATACAGCTGAGAGGCAAGGGTTAAGCAGACAAGTGAGTACACTGGTGCCTCAATTTACATCGGTAATCCGTTCCAGAAGATGGGCATAACTTGAAATGGTCGTTAAGTCGAAGCACCATTTCCCATAGGAATGGGTTGGAACGCAATTATTATATTATTATTATTATTTATTGTATTTATACCTCGCCTATCTAGTCATTTCGACCACTCTAGCGGCTTACAACATAAGGATAACAAGTTCTAAAAAAATGTATAACAATTAATTAATTAAATGATTCTATGAGATGTGAAAAATAAAAATAAATCAAATAAAGAGGAAAAAAAAGGAAAGAGGACAGGAATTAACTGTAAGGGAAGGCCTGCCTATACATCCTTGTTTTTAGTTGGTTCTTAAAAGTACCCAGCAAGGGTGCAGCGCGAATCTCCTGAGGTAGGTTATTCCAGAGACGAGGAGCCACCGCTGAGAAAGCCCGGTTTCTAGTTCTTTCTTTCCGGGCCTCCCTCAGCGTCAGGCTCCTCAGCCTCACCTGGCTCGTGCGGGTGACACGGGTAGAACTAGTTGGGAGTAAGCGTTCCGCCAAGTATCGAGGTCCTAAACCGTTTAGGGCTTTATATGTAAGCATTAACACTTTGAAGTCAATGCGGAAACGGATGGGCAGCCA